TTCATGCTTGGCGAGGGGGAGCAGAGGAGTTTCATGGTGGTTTATGTGGATGACATCCTCATTTTCTCACCCTCATCTGACCTTGTGAAGGAGGTGATGCTGAAGCTTCAGGACAAGTTTAACTGTAAGGCCCTTGGTGACGTCAACTTCTACCTTGGGCTTCACATTGAACGTGATGTGGAGAAGCGGTGCATGCGGGTGCATCAACGGAAGTACCTGGAGGCATTGGCTGCCAACTTTGGGCAGAGTGAAGGCCATGTGGCTACACCCTTTCCCTCTGGTTTCAAGTGTGTGAAGGGACCAGAGGAGGAGAGCGTTGGTGAAGAGGAGAGGCGCCGTTTTCACTCGTTGGTGGGCAGCCTCATGTACGCGGCGGTAAACACCCGACCGGACGTCGCGTTTGCTACCGGACAGTTGGCTAGGGTTGTTCAATGCCCTAATGAGGAGCAGGTAGCAGCTGGAATGAGAGTGGCCAAGTATCTTGGCCAAACACCGACCGTTGGGCTGCAATATTCGGCGGCGGCGCAAAGGCGCCAAAAGGGCGCGGATGGTGTTGAACCCGGGCGTTTGTTCCTCACCGCATTCTCGGATGCTTCTTTTGCATCAGAACCAGAGGACATGACAAGTGTTGGAGGGTTCATTTGCTGTGTTGGTGGGGGCCCAACTGCTTGGGAGAGCAAGAAGCAGGTGGATCAAGCATTGAGCTCGGTGGAGTCCGAGTATATGGCACTCTTCCGTGCCGTACGAGAGATTGTGTGGCAGCGGCGTTTGTTGGCTGAATTGGGGGAGGAGCAGCAAGGACCTACCCCACTCTACTGTGACAGCCAGGGTGCCATTGCTCTTGCTAAGAACCCTGTGTTGCATGGCCTCACCAAGCACATGAGGGTGAAGTGGCATTGGACGAGGAGCATGGTGGCCGCGGGTGAAGTTGAGTTGCGCTACGTGAAGACCACGGGGCAGCCGGCTGACATGATGACCAAGAGGCTGGTGGAGCAGCAGCATTGGAAGTGTTGCAAGCTGGCTGGGATGGCTCTGAACTGAGAGAGCAACATATCCTAAGGCCAACAATCCGAGGGGGGGTTTGTTGGTGCAACCCTGCGGTTTGCACTCGGCTTGTTGTCCGTGTGCGTGAATGTGTGTGTGTATGGAATGGTATGAGGGCATGGGATAATATACATTTCATGCTTATAATTGTGTGTGAATGTTGAGTCATGATGTCGAGTGTGTGTGTCGAGTCAATAGCGAGTTATCGCTAGACGCGTGTTACGCGGTCGTTTGTGTCTCGCGCGCGGTTTCTATTTTGTCGTGCGCGGTTTCTATTTTGTCCTGTGTCGAACGTTCGGCGTGTCGCAGGTGTGTGCAGCAGACCCATCAAGAACTCAAGGATGAGTTTGTGATGAAGAGCCCGAGCCTTGGTGTCAAGCCTCAAGTGATTTCGAAGCTCGCCAAAAAGGGTACACCTCAAGATATTGAAGATAGTTACATTACTTTGTGTAGTGTAACATTTCACTTGGTGTAGGCCCTAGTGAAGGGTAGTTTCGAGACCCTTCGTGGTTGGGGACAGTGTGGCACTGTTCCACATCACTGTACCTCGGCTCTTGGGGTTTGTAGGAGCTGGGAGTCATTCCCAACTCGTAACTCTTCCTATCTTGTGTTCTAAGACTATAGTGGCTGCCATAGTACCGTTCGTTCAAACCGACGCTGTGTCGTCAATTCTTATCAAATCGTGCAATCTAAATTGCTAATTGTAGACGACGTGAAGACGCTCCAGATCCAATTTGAATCAAGTCATTTGCAGCTGTGAGCAGAACGCTATCAACGTTTGAAGCCGCTGTGCAGAAATCCATCTGTGCTCTCTATCTTTCGTTTTAGGCACATTCAAGCCTATTGTGACTATAACAGTTTCTACGCACCGATACCTCGCTGCCGCCGTTCTACGACCTGGTCTTTGCCACTGCTGACACTGAGGCACTGACCCTTGTGAAGTCGGAGGTGCAGAAGAGACACACCTGCACTGACCTGGGTGAACTGCGCAGCTATCTTGGCTTGCAGATCACCCGGGACAGAGCTCGGTGCATCATTACCCTTACTCAGTCACACATGGTGCACCATGTCCTTCAGCGCTTCGGCTTCCAGCTCTCCTCGCCACAGCCCACTCCTCTGTCTACCAGCCACTCGCTCTCAGCTCCACCTTCGAACGAGTCCGTAGAGCCGAATGGTCCGTACCCAGAGCTTGTGGGTTGCCTCATGTACCTGATGACGTGCACACGACCTGACCTCGCGCACCCTCTCAGCCTTCTGGCTCGCTACGTGGCTCCCGGTTGGCACCGAAAAGTGCACTGGGATGCTGCGAAGAGGGTACTGCGCTACTTGTGCTGTACGTCAGGCATGGGGCTCGTGCTTGGAGGACGGGGTCCAGTTGTCCTCACTGGTCACGCAGACGCCTCCTGGGTTGACGACTCAGCTACGCAGCGGTCGTCACAGGGTTACACTTTCAGCCTTGGTTCCGGCTCTTTTTCCTGGCAGTCTACTCGCTCGTCTTCGGTTCTCAGCTCCAGTTGTGAGACTGAGATCTACGCCGGAGCCATGGCTGCACAGGAGCTACGCTGGCTCACCTACCTGCTGACTGACTTGGGAGAGCAGCCTCGTTCGCCTCCAGTTCTGTACGTAGACAACAAGGCCATGATTGCCTTGTGTCAGGAGCACAGACTGGAGCACCGAACGAAGCACATCGCTCTGCGATACTTCCTTGCTCGAGAGTTGCAGCAGCGTGGCCAACTTTGTCTTGCGTACGTGGCCACTAGGGCCAACAATGCTGATATATTCACCTCTTCCGCCTGGTGATCATCAGCGCTTCTCTACTGTGTTAGGCCTTGTGCCTACTTTGCCTCACTTGCTTACTGCGTGACTTTGCTTGTACTGTGATCTCTATATATACCTGCATGCTTGCACTTGCTAGGGTATGATCACTGTATTGTTTGTGAACTGGCCTTGTGGCCCTTTGCTTGTGCTCGGACTGTGTGGTGACTTTGTGATCCACCCTGAGCTTGCTTTGCTTTTCTTGACTGGTCTTGTGCCCACTTGTTCTCCCCCACTTTGCCTATGGGGGTGTGTCAGAACATTATAGCTTTTACATTTGTGTAAGCTATAGTGGGGGTAGCCCATAGAGGGTACAACCCAATGAGGGTTAGTACTTGTACCCAAATCATTTCTACTTCATTCATTCTCGTTCATTACTTTTGACACTGATGTGCGAATAGTACATCTCCAAAATGTCACACTCTCCCCAAACGGTCCCAGGGGAGCCTTTGGGGACAGGACACCCGCGAAACTCTCCCCTACTAAGAGACTTTTGGGACCAAGGCAAAAGTGTCCTCAAACAGACTTGGATGTCCTCAACGACACTTGCACGACAGCTTGGGGACAATCGGGGAAAACACAACTGGGATATTCACTAGCAGGAGTAGTACTAGTACTAGTGCTTAACTTTTACTGCTAGTAGCAGTGCCAGCACAAACTTACTTGTGGTCTTCCCTTTCCATGCAAGAGGTCTGACGTGAGCGCCAGACGCGACAGATGCCGCGCTGCGGCCTTGGGGACGATCTCGTGGGAAGAAGTGGCCCCAGTGATGCGGACGTGGCGCCGGCAGTAAAGACCGCCACCTGGCGGACAGGCAGTCCTGAAGTGAGCAACATCATGAGGAGCTGACACAAAGCTGCACTCAAAAGAAACCGTTTTCTTCTTTGGTGCAGTGCACCAGCCAGAGCCAGAATCGATTCTGCCACTGGCAGGTGTGGTGTGACGCGCCGCGGCCGGCGTTGTGACCAGTTTACAGGAGTATATTACCGAGAGGCTTTTGGCAGAAGCGGTGCTTACTACAGAGCAGGATGACAGACAGAGATGCCGCGGGCATGATGTCACGGTGTTGGACAGGAAAAGGCGGACGACTCGGGAATGAAATCTCGAGGGTCTGGAGTTTTCTCCCAGGTTGAGAGCCTCAGGACGGGTTCGGAAGGAAGTTCGTTTTCGCGATCACCCTACCCAACCATTCTACGGAAGTTAATAACTTCGAACGCTAAGAAATGAAGATTATTTGATGATATCCGCATCATTCATTTGTCCTTTCGGTACCCGACGTTATGCTTCACTGAATTGGGATGGGAGGCTTCGTCTTGAGTGACAAGACAACAAGCCCAAGCTGTGTGCGTCCTCCATTTCTCCCAGCCTGCCGTGCTGAGCCTACTGTTTTAGCTGTGCCTCGCTGTTTTAGTTGTGCCTCGCTTTTCCAGCAGTGCCTCCCTGTTTTAGCTGTGCTTCGCTGCGTAGGGGCAATCGTTGGAACAATGACGTACTCCAAGATCGCATTCGGCCGACTTGTCACGAGTTTCGTACTCCACACAAATGCGGCTAAGAGCGTGTTACGTACCCATCTTTTAGGCAGCTGGTCGGGTTTCCTTGGCTTGTCGAGTTGGGTGACGGAATATTTCAATTTGAGGTAGCATTGCGAAGGTGTGTGAACACGCCCGTAATGACCCGCCAAAGTAGAGGGTTACAGTGCCACCATAGCAAGCTAAATATTTAGAATCACGAGATCTAAATGTATTAATATAATTTACCGCACTCACTTGTAAATTTTACTACATTAGAAGCGCACCCCCTGAAGAAAACGTGTTTTATTATAAGCACAGGTGCGCTCCTATCCGGGGTATCATGGTATGATGCCAAGCTGATGCGAGGGTGTGCTTGCTTACACAATATTGTCAAGCTACCGTACAACAAGGTGCCCAATGCCCATTCATTGCTAGCTTGTGTTTTCACACCACATAGCATGGCATATACGGTACTATACCTAACCTCTTTCTCCACCGTCCGCTGCACGATACTGTAGTCCCATCTAGCAGAATAGCGGCTGCACTACCAGACGTCGCTGGAACATAAATATATGAACATTCTGCATACAATATATTTCGTCCGCAAGAACGGCGTGTGGTATCCATGTGTCAGGTCAGGATTGGCTCTGTCGAAAGCCCAGCTATTTGTTCCAAGAAATCAGATCCATCGTTGGAGTCCCTTGGAGTATCGGAGTTGATCACCTTGGATGGAAGAGACACGGGCGGAGGGAAAAAGCAGGGAGTTGGGACGGGTGAGGAAGGACTGAGGGGGTAAGAGAGTAGAGAGTGGCTCTTGATGGGCCGTGGCTCTTGATGGGCCGTGGCTCTTGATGGGCCATGGCTTTGCCAGCAGTGCTTCTCAGTGTGCGTGGCCGACAGAAACGTGCAAGCGTTTTCTCACCTATGGCCTGAAAGAACCATTTCCACACTGCACTCACTAACACACACACACTCATGTACACCCACCTTCACCACACACCCACCTCCCCACACACCCACCTCCCCCACACACCAGACATGCCCAACCCACCCACAACCAAACCAACACTCTCCCCACCCACCCACACGCCCACCTCAATGATGCGTCGGTGCTGGCAGGGCGGTGGCACTGCCAGCACTGCCGCCACCACGGCTGCCAGATCCTCCCTTGACACGCTTCCTTTCATGGTGTTGCCCTGGGGTCACCATGAGGGCAGGGCACAAGGAGAGACGACACAACAATGGGAGAGGGACGAGTGGGATGGGATGGGAGGGAGTGCGTGCTCCCTCCACCACGGCTGCCAGATCCTCCCTTGACACGCCGCCCCTCATAATGTGGCCCTGGGGGATGATGAGGGCACAGGGAGAGAGGCGGGACCTGATGGGCGCATGGGAAATGGAAGGGGGAAGGAGGAACAACAGGCGCTGCTGCCACCGCCATGACAAGTTGTCCTGAGATATGCTTCCTTCTTACTGCGCCGCCCTGCCTTCATGCATGGGGGGTGGGGGGAGGGCTTCGAGAAGCGCACAGCGCACAAGCGCTGCCTGCGCATGATTCCTTTCTGGTGTTGCCTGGCGAGATGTACAGGGGAAGAGGGGAAGAGAGGAGGCGAGGAGAGAAAAAAAGGAGGAGGGAAGGTAGGGAGGTAGGGAAGCCTAAACCCTTTTCCTGCCTTATCCTCACCTGCCCCACTCCTCACCTGCCCCACTCCTCACCTGCCCCACTCCTCACCTGCCCCACTCCTCACCTGCCCCACTCCTCACCTGCCCCACTCCTCACCTGCCCCACGCCTCACCTGCCCCACTCCTCACCTGTCCCAGCAGCAGCCCCTTCTGCCGACCAGGTTCATCCACCACCTTCCCCCCTCGCACCACCGTGCACCCAAACCCCCTCCTCCGCGCCTCCTCTGCTGCTCCCCTCTCCCCGTCACCACCTGCCGCTACAGCAGCAGCAGCGAGTGCTGCCTCGGCGTCTGCCGCTGATGCCAGCGGAGATGCGGACCAGAGCAGCCCTGCCAGACCTGATGGGCGTGACGAAGCCCCCAGCTGGCGTGGTGGGAGGGCGGGGTAAGATGGGGAGGTGAAAGGGATTCATGACAGAGCAGAGGAGGGAAAGAGTGGTGGACAGATGGGTAACAGAAAGGTTGTTGGGAGGATGGGACAGAGAGGGCAGGAAGGCTGATGGATTGGAAGGAGCAATCAAGGGTTCAAGCTTATGAAGGAAATGGCTGCTTGTTTCTCCAGTGGCGCTACAGGTGACTCTTTCACACTTGCCCAGCTTCCGGCTTCCGACCGTGTGCCTGTTGCGCCTGGAATACTTACTGCGACAATTGTGTCGCCTAGAAAAGGAACCTGCGCTGTCCGAACCCACTCGAACCACTTGCATAACACATGTTGCTGCACGGTTTGCTAACTTGTGGTACGAGCACCCTCCACCCACCCAGCCACCCACCAACTCACCTGTGATACCAGCACCACATGCTCCACTTTGCTCCCCTGTAGCAGTTGTGCCAGCGATCCCAGCTGATTGAAGCAGCAGGGGGACAGGGAAAGGCAGGGGCGGAAAAAGAGGTGAAGGCAGGAAGGAGGCACGGGGTTATAGAAGCCAGAGACAAGCAAAGAGCAGAAAGGCGTGAGTGCGAGAGACGTGACAGAAAGCAAGGACGAGAGCACTGTGGGAATGCTGAGGGATGAGGGACAGCAAGGAAGAGGGGATGGGGTCCGTGCCACAGAGGAAGCGGAACAGAGGAGGGAAGGCATTGTGTCGGCGGAATTCGAGTCAGAGGGAGGATTGAAGTTTGAACGACGGGGGGGATGGGGTAGCGAGGGAAGTGGGAGTGATGCGGCTAGTGGCACTGAGCATGTGCTGTGCTGTGCTGCTGGCAGCGACCTACCCGGCCTGTGACTATGACTGCCTGAGTGCCCCTGAGAGCAGCTCTCACTGCTGATTGGTCCGCCACCGACCCTGATATGGGCTGCCGTGCATGGTGGTGGGATGGCGCGGATGGGGGTGCGGGGATGGGGAGGCAAGGGAGCGAGAGAGTGACGGTGGTGATTATGGTTTGTTAGAAGTAGTTGAGGCGTCGGGAAAACGAGAGACAAGGGCACAGGTTGAGAAGAAGGGAAGGAGAAGGAGGAACCACTGTGGGGAATGAATGCTTGATAGGTGCTTGCCATGCTGACGACGATGGTTTGCAACCGTCAGCACCCAATGATACCCACCAGCACCCTCCAGCACCCATTGGCACCCATTGGCACCCATTGGCACCCATTGGCACCCATTGGCACCCACTGGCACCCATTAGCACCCATTGGCACCCATTGGCACCCATTGGCACCCACTGGCACCCATTAGCACCCATTGGCACCCATTGGCACCCATTGGCACCCATTGGCACCCATTGGCACCCATTGGCACCCATTGGCACCCACTGGCACCCATTGGCACCCATTGGCACCCATTGGCACCCATTGGCACCCATTGGCACCCATTGGCACCCACTGGCACCCATTGGCACCCATTGGCACCCATTGGCACCCATTGGCACCCATTGGCACCCATTGGCACCCACTGGCACCCATTGGCACCCATTGGCACCCATTGGCACCCATTGGCACCCATTGGCACCCATTGGCACCCACTGGCACCCATTGGCACCCACTGGCACCCATTGGCACCCATTGGCACCCATTGGCACCCATTGGCACCCATTGGCACCCATTGGCACCCATTGGCACCCATTGGCACCCATTGGCACCCATTGGCACCCATTGGCACCCATTGGCACCCATTGGCACCCATTGGCACCCATTGGCACCCATTGGCACCCATCACAGACTGACCTGCACATAGGGCCCGAACCCAGCAGTGGCCTCCTTGGCGTCTTTCACGAGCACCCTCACCCTCCTGCGCGCCAATATGAGCTGCAACACCACCATCTGACAGAGAGGTGGGGAGACGGGGTGGGGGAGCGAAGAGGAGGGTGGGAGAGGTTGAGGCACACTACTGGCACATGCCGCTCAGAGAACTCTCTCATTTACCCTCCTGCATGCCACGATGTGCTGCAGCACCACCATCTGGGGGAGGGGGAGGGAGGGGAGCGGGGAAAAGGGGAGGGGAGGGGAGGGGAAGAAAGGGGAGTGGAGTGGAGGAGAGGGGAGGGGAGGGGAGGGGATGGAAGGGAGGGGAGGAGAGGGGAGGGGAGGGGAGGGAAGAATGAGGCGCAGCACAGGCACATGTCCGTCATGGGCACGGCCAGCCTCGTGCACGCCAAGATGAGTTTCTGCACCCCCATGTGCTGTGATGAGTTTCTGCACCCCCATGTGCTGTGATGAGTTTCTGCACCCCCATGTGCTGTGATGAGTTTCTGCACCCCCATGTGCTGTGCGGCGGGGGGGGAGGCAGTGGGAGCAGGGTGGTGGGGGGTGGAGACGTGAGGGTGGTAGGGAATGCAGCGCACGGGCACAGGCCGCTGCACTAGTAAGCTCGCTCCGCACTGGGATGAGCTGAGCAGTGAGGGAGGGAGGGTGGGCGGGAAGTGAGGGGACGAACAGCAGAGAGGGAGGTGCGAGGAGAGAAGAAGGCGGTGTTGCGACGGACGGCATGGTGGGATGAGATGCAAGAGCGTGAGGGAGGGAAAGAGCAGTCGTGCGCCGTCAGTCATTGCAGGAAGCAAGAGTGGGAGGGGAGCCACACAAGTGGCGTCGGGCAGCTTTGAAGAGGGATTCCATTCCAGGCCGCATGCCATCTGGTATGATACACGCCACATCTTATCATTCAAACAGCTACTCCCCCCTCCTCCCCCTCCCCCCCCCATGATACAATCACCTAACCACCTCAAGGGCAAGGCTGGTGAGAGCATCAACACGAAGCCACCTGAGTACAGCATCCAAAGTTCAACAGACACCTGAGAATCACCTGAGAATCACCTGAGAATCACCTGAGAATCACCTGAGAATCACCTGAGAATCACCTGAGAATCACCTGAGAATCACCTGGCCTGTGTCCGAGTCTGCATCTGTGACCAACACGGCATCCCCTCCCCCCTCTCCCTCCTCCCCCTCCTCCTCCGTCTCCTCGCCCTCCTCGTCCTCGTCTGTGTGGAATGGACAGTTCAACAGGTGGAGTGCAAGCATGGAAGCGGGTGCAGGGGCGACGGGGGATTGGGGATGGAAGCGGGGCAGCGGTGAGTGGTGAGTGGTGAGTGGTGAGTGGTGAGTGGTGAGTGGTGAGTGCACAACACAGCTGCAGTGAGACACTGAGACGCGTCCACTCTGGAGAGTTCTCTTAGGCCAACACAGGTGAGTAGCAGCCAGCATGCTTCACATCAGTGCCACACACACCCGCACACTCACTCCGCCGCCCCATCCAACTCTGCCTTTCCTCTTCCCAACACCACCCCACCGCACTGGATCCCCGCCCATGCCTTACCAGAGCCATCCCTGGGCAGAGTGTCGGCTGCGCCGTACCACCGCCGCAGCTTTGGGCCGCCTGGTATGGTAGCCACGCCATGCGCGCGTGGTGGGGGGGAGGGGAGGGGGGTGGGGCGCGGAGGGGCAAGGAAAATGGCGGATGAGAGCAGCGCGGGGAAGGGCTGGGGGAGGGGCACGCGAGATGGGAGGCGAATACAGTGCAGGGAAGCGGTGGTGGTGGTGGGGAAAGGGAGGAAGGAAGTGTTATGACCTTGGAGTTTTCTCATGGAGAGGCAAGACGAAATGGACGGGCATGGGGAATTCGCATTGGGGAGTTCTCATGGAGGAAAAGAGGGAGGCGGGATTGAGAGAAACCGGCTTGATCGTTACACCTCATGCCTGGGGAATGCGTGACGTCAGCTGAAGCCTGAAGGCCGTGGCGTTGCAGGTTTGTCGCCCTTTTCTGGTCATGCTGACGCCAGCGGAGGGGAATACTGAGTGAGCTCCTCAATTTCCTTCCTCCCTCCCGTTACCCCGAAGATTTGGTCGCTCGTTGAGCGCACCTTCGATATAGTCAAGAATCTGATCGCCGAAGGACGGCCCCTGCTTCCCCTTCCGCTGCCCGCCGCCGTCCTCCCCTCCGCGCGCGCGCACGCGCACACCCGCGCTAGCCCCGCGCCGACTGGCCCGACTGCACCGACTGAGCTCAATCTGCGGAGCGCCTGCGCGGAAAGCAGCACTGCTGCGCAAACAGATGTTCGTATATCGAAGCGAAGTTGCCTCGCAGACGGGAGCGCCAGTAGCGAGCGGTCTCGCTGCAGCGGGCAGCGCTGCAGCGGCAGCGGGAGCCATGATGTGCGGAATGCCCGTCGAAGCCCCCCGCGCGCGGCAATTCCTAGACTCGCGGAGGCCTTAGGCGAAAGAAACTCGTGCGGACAGACCAATCTGCTGCCGTTGCTATGAGCTTGCTAGCCGCGGCTATCACAATTTGCGTGGCATATGCGCGCCACTGAAGCTCAATGCTGCTACTGTACGCGATATGGCATCACTCCTTTAACACGCCCGTGCTTCTTCAAATAACAGCAACTTGTTTCAGTGGATTCCAAGCATACAACATGTGGAATGTTTAAGTGAGATAACAAAAGCATTTGATATAAAACGACCAGCACCTACAGCAAAGGGAGCTTTCAACCTACATGAATGCACATGTTTTCAAAGCCTACACCCCAGACGCCCCTGAAGAAAACGTCCCTGATGTTTAATTTATTTAGCCCCCTTTTTAGTGTTGGCAGAGAGGTAAGTCCCCGCCTTGCATTTTGTCAACTACACGGAAGGTGCAGCCAACACTTGGTAACCAGCAGAAGCCGCAGAGGCAGGGGAATAATCAAGAGATGAAGCAGGAGCAGGCAAAGGCAGAGCAGAAAGAGGAGAGCATTGAGGTGCGGGGCGAGGTGCCTCCTTGCCGAGTGAGGAGGAGAGGTGGAAGTTCCAGAAGATGGCACAGCATGACATGAAGGCCACTCTTGCCTCTAATGGCACCACTCTGTAGCGGGTATGAAGACAGAGAGGGAGGAAACGGAGCAGTGATGAATGGGAGCAGATGGAGTACGTGGGGATGCAAAGAGGGGTGCATGCAGTGGGGGGAATGCAGTGGGGGGGATGCAGTGGGGGGGATGCAGTGGGGGGGATGCAGTGGGGGGGATGCAGTGGGGGGGATGCAGTGGGGGGGATGCAGTGGGGGGGATGCAGTGGGGGGGATGCAGTGGGGGGGATGCAGTGGGGGGGATGCAGTGGGGGGGATGCAGTGGGGGGGATGCAGTGGGAGATGCGAAGGTGCAGGTGGGTGCGGTAGGTGGATGGCAGGCAAGGCAAGAGTCACAAGGGGACTAGGTGGAGGAGATAGCTGGCAGGGAGAAGCAGGAAACGCTAGGGCAGATATTAGGAGGGTAATGGGACAGAAAGGCAAAGGTAAGGCGAGAGGAAGGGGAGAGGAAGGCGAGGGGAAGATGATAGGAAGGCTTACGCGAAGTTGAGGCAGGTGGCAGGTATCCAGAACTTGTAGCCTGATGGGTAGGGGATGCACGGAGAGACCGGGAGGGCCACAGGTTGGGCTTAAAGGAGAACTACACGAATGTTCTGAACAGAGGGCTCATCAAGGTTACATGCTCAGGAACGGAGGGCTTAGGAGGCTCGCATAGGAGTGGTACCAAGGGGTTGAAACGAGTACTACGGGTTTACAAAGACAAAAATTCTATCTAGCTACAAACAAGCAAGAACGAGCAGTAGAAAAACTAGCCATCACGAACGGACAAACTTGGGTACAATACATTACTCTACATAAGGTGACGCGAGTCGGCTATGTTACCCTTGATGAGCGAGGGGAAGAAGTCTCGGCGGTACTTGTCGGGGATGTCCCTGGCACGACCCATCCATGCCATGTTCCATGCAAACACCACCAGCAGCACACTCGGCCCCACCACCACCTGATTCGCTAGCACCTGCACAGAAAGGGGTTAGGAAGAGGGGAGTAAGATGAGGAGCAGGAGGAGGGACGGCAAGGCGAGGGATGAAACCCGCTGGTGGCGACTTTGGCTCTTGCTGTGATTCCACTCACTGCCACTGCCACTGGTACCCACTACTCACGGTCGCTGTGAGAGCCACAGAGCAACATCGGAGCACATGCGAACTGCTTGCAGCAAGCAGGTCTCAAAGTGAGTGAGCCTACGAGGCGGTGCTTTGAGAGCAAGGCTGCACCCACTCTGAGGAGCCTGCTGACTGTCTGACAGGACTCCGTGTGCGCAGGCAGCAGGCAGCAGGCAGCAGGCAGCAGGCAGTCCAGCTTCCCCTACCCCCAATACCCCCGGTACCCTGGTACCATCGGTACAGTGCAGAGAGTACAGCGAAGAGAGAGGGGCGCAGAGAGTGTTTGAGGGGTGGGGCGCACCTTGAAGGCGAAGTTGGAGGCGGTGGGGGCGGGCAGCAGGCGGTCGAGCCAGCGGTACCAGGCGTGGCAGCCGGGCCCGTACAGCAGGAAGCCGTACGACGCCATGCGTAGAGCGCGCACCCAGTCGTGCTGCCCCAACCCCTCGCCCTCCCTAGCGCCTGCTGCAGGGTGCGGCTCGTGCAGTGCGGTGGGGGCAGCAGCAGCAGCGCACGCGTCAGTGCGGTGGCCGAGGTGGTGGTGGTCGCCGTGGTGCTGCTGTTTCTGTTTCTGCTGCCGGCGGCTGCGGCGCTCCACGAGCTGCGCCAGCGTGTCGCCCGCCAGCGCCAGCCCGCTCGCCGTTGCTGCTGCCTTCAGGGGGAAGCGCTGCGGGCGATGGGGAAGGCGGCATGGGGAAGGGGGGGAGAGAGGGGGACGAGGGGGGAGGCCGAAAAGGGGAACAGGAGGGGGAAAGGGGGACGGGGGAGGGGGGAAAGGAAAGGAGAAACTGATTCTAGGGGGATTATTCAAATATTCTAGGGGGTTCTTGAATGGTGGCACGAGAAGGGGGAGGAGGAAGGGAAATGTGGACTGTGGAGGGGGAATGGAGGGATGGTACTGTCGTCTCATAGGGTGACAACTCGAGCACCGGCTAAACAAAGAGAAGGGAGAAAGAAGATAATGTGGCTCTAAAGGCAGGGGGGAGGATTGACGAAAGTGTTTGAAGCAGATGAATGTACCACCGGTGCAGTGCTGCTCGGCGCTGTGCTACGGTCCAACTCCAAGAGGCTCCACTGGTGTTAAGCACGGAGGCAATGTGCAATATCACCTCGCCACCCACCAGCTCTACCACCCACGCGCCCACCCAACCACCCACCCACCCACCTCGCCACCCACCCACCCACCAAGCTACCCACCTCCAGCAACGACCCAGATTGAGCCTTCTTCCACGATGGCTCATCCAACGACTGAGATGCGCTCAATGTGCTGCAGGGAAATCGACAGGAGGGGATTAGCAGGTTGGCGAATGAGGCAAGGGGCGGACGGCAGGCGGCAACGGACGGCAGAGGGGAATGGACGGCAGAGGGGAATGGATGGCAGAGGGGAATGGACGGAAGGGGGCAAGGGTCGGCAGAGGCCAATGGACGGCGGAGGGCAAGAGGCAGACTAGAGGTGCAACTGTAACAACCTCACCTGGCTCGAAGGCGGTGCCTGTCGTGCTGCCACGTGGCAGTCAGCGAGGAGAGGAGCGAGAGCGACAGGCCGTGCGAGAGCGAGCAGGAGAGCGCTGCTAGCGGGCGAACGCGGAGAGCGTCTGAGGAAGCGTTGACCGCGTTGACTCCGTCGGCCGCGTTGAAGGGCAAGCCGCTGGATGCAGCCATCGTGGGTGAACGAATTAGGGTTACCACCGGTCTTGGGCGCGGACGCAGCGTTCGTGGTTATACCGCAACGCAATGGCTCGACGCGCGAATGGTTTCCGCCGAATCGTCTCCGCACTCGACTGACACCCGCTTTCCAGGTTCCTAATCTTGGAAGGCTTAGCAGGGCAGATTCGGCGGGAAAGTAAAAATCGTTCACGGTTCGGTCTTGGAATAACACTGACGCGAGAAACAATGTGGGAAAGAGTATGCAGGAGGATTCCTGGCCTCCACCGCTATTCGCTGCGGGCTGCAGCAGGGATGACATCGCAGCTCGTCGACAGAGAGGCTGGCTCGCAGTCACAGATGTCACCAAACATGCCACACGCCGACGGCGATTCACGTCTTTGCAATGGCGGGGACCTTACCTTTGCAGCAGGCAAGCTCGCACTATTTGCGGAAGGAAGCAATGCTGCCATGACTGAGCGCAGCGCCAGTCGCGTTCAATGTGGCAGCCTACCAAACAAGGCACAAGTGACTGCCATCCGTTACTACCGACGGTTGACGTTTTTGCAAGGACGACTGTTGCTGTGTTTGCGCGACGCATGCACCATTCAGGGTCAGGGAGCAGTGTCGGTGGTGCTGGATGTGACCGATATCCGATTTGAGAAACTCGATAAGCCTGACTGGCTCAATGTGGTACACGCTGCTTATGCCAACAAAAACGCATCCTCTTACAGTAATCTTCCAGATAAATGACCCTAGTGCCTTGTTATAAATTCTCTAAAAGAGTGGGTCTAATTGAATTTTCCAGGTGGCACCTCGACTGTGTCCACTTGTCACGATCCACTAGCGTGGCAGTAGAAAAAACAAAGCTGCACAGGATTGACAGAGCAGTTCTCATGTAATTTCCTCCAAGGGAGTGAATCTGTTAGTTGTCCTCTTGAAATGCTTTCGCTCATGAATTGACATGGAAGCTACGTATAATTGCTCACCCACCATACCTCTACTGCCTTCCATCATGCCTGCGATAAGAGTGTCATTGCCGTGGCATGACACACGCCAGGGGATGGCACACTTGACCAGCCAGATGTATCTCATCCCTCCTCCACCCTTCTTCTCTGCCAATCCATCCCCACATTGAACAATCCATGCCTCATGGTCAACCAACCGTGCCCTCACTGCGTTATACCTGTCAGGAGGGGATGCCATGCCCTCGACTGAGATTGCCAATGTAACGGCATGACATGCATTGGCTGATGTACTAGGTATTATATAATAGGCATGAAACAGTATTAGGTAGAAAGTGGCGATACGTATTTGACTGCACAACATGACATGGCAGAACATCAAATGGCAAGCAATGGGAATTTGACTGGGAGGATGGAAGATCAGAATCTGGCAGCGCACAATGACAATGAAACTCAAATCATACAATGGCGATAAACAACTAACAGAAAAATAGGTGTGGGAATCTGGCAAATAAAAATGGCAACATGACTGGATAATGGTAATTGCGAGTTCACTGAACAAAATGTGAATGGGCAATGAACAGGGAAAACGACAAAAGAAAACTATGCAGGGCATTTGACAAGTTGAGTAGACAAACGGTAGAGGGAAGTGGCCAGAAACATGGCAATGTCCAATTGGCTGGAAAGGTGACCATGAAAATTCTGTATGACAAATCGAAATGGGAATCTGGCTAAGAAAGTCCAGGCAGGCTGATTGGACAGAAAGACATGTAGAGCAGCAGAAGATGGTAAAGGGAAGTGGACTGAAAAATGCAAATATGGAAAGCGAGATTTGAAGCATGGAGTTCATTCCCACTTACCTCACCTCACCCCATCTCCCACTTACCTCACCTCATCCCATCTCCCACATACCTCACCTCATCCCATCTCCCACATACCTCACCTCATCCCATCTCCCACATACCTCACCTCATTCCATCTCCCACATACCTCACCTCATCCCATCTCCCACATACCTCACCTCATCCCATCTCCCACATACCTCACCTCATCCCATCTCCCACATACCTCACCTCATCCCATCTCCCACATACCTCACCTCATCCCATCTCCCACTTACCTCACCTCATCCCATCTCCCACATACCTCACCTCATCCCATCTCCCACATACCTCACCTCATCCCATCTCCCACATACCTCACCTCATCCCATCTCCCACATACCTCACCTCATCCCATCTCCCACATACCTCACCTCATCCCATCTCCCACATACCTCACCTCATCCCATCTCCCACATACCTCACCTCATCCCATCTCCCACATACCTCACCTCATCCCATCTCCCACATACCTCACCTCATCCCATCTCCCACATACCTCACCTCATCCCATCTCCCACTGACCTCACCTCATCCCATCTCCCACATACCTCACCTCATCCCATCTCCCACTTACCTCACCTCATCCCATCTCCCACATACCTCACCTCATCCCATCTCCCACATACCTCACCTCATCCCATCTCCCACATACCTCACCTCATCCCATCTCCCACATACCTCACCTCATCCCATCTCCCACATACCTCACCTCATCCCATCTCCCACATACCTCACCTCATCCCATCTCCCACTTACCTCACCTCATCCCATCTCCCACATACCTCACCTCATCCCATCTCCCACATACCTCACCTCATTCCATCTCCCACATACCTCACCTCATCCCATCTCCCACATACCTCACCTCATCCCATCTCCCACATACCTCACCTCATCCCATCTCCCACTTACCTCACCTCATCCCATCTCCCACATACCTCACCTCATCCCATCTCCCACATACCTCACCTCATCACATCTCCCACATACCTCACCTCATCCCATCTCCCACATACCTCACCTCATCCCATCTCCCACATACCTCACCTCATCCCATCTCCCACTTACCTCACCTCATCCCATCTCCCACATACCTCACCTCATCCCATCTCCCACATACCTCACCTCATTCCATCTCCCACATACCTCACCTCATCCCATCTCCCACATACCTCACCTCATCCCATCTCCCACATACCTCACCTCATCCCATCTCCCACATACCTCACCTCATCCCATCTCCCACATACCTCACCTCATCCCATCTCCCACTTACCTCACCTCATCCCATCTCCCACATACCTCACCTCATCCCATCTCCCACATACCTCACCTCATTCCATCTCCCACATACCTCACCTCATCCCATCTCCCACATACCTCACCTCATCCCATCTCCCACATACCTCACCTCATCCCATCTCCCACTTACCTCACCTCATCCCATCTCCCACATACCTCACCTCATCCCATCTCCCACATACCTCACCTCATCCCATCTCCCACATACCTCACCTCATCCCATCTCCCACTTACCTCACCTCATCCCATCTCCCACATACCTCACCTCATCCCATCTCCCACATACCTCACCTCATCCCATCTCCCACATACCTCACCTCATCCCATCTCCCACATACCTCACCTCATCCCATCTCCCACTTACCTCACCTCATCCCATCTCCCACATACCTCACCTCATCCCATCTCCCACATACCTCACCTCATCCCATCTCCCACATACCTCACCTCATCCCATCTCCCACATACCTCACCTCATCCCATCTCCCACATACCTCACCTCATCCCATCTCCCACTTACCTCACCTCATCCCATCTCCCACATACCTCACCTCATCCCATCTCCCACATACCTCACCTCATCCCATCTCCCACATACCTCACCTCATCCCATCTCCCACATACCTCACCTCATCCCATCTCCCACATACCTCACCTCATCCCATCTCCCACATACCTCACCTCATCCCATCTCCCACATACCTCACCTCATCCCATCTCCCACATACCTCACCTCATCCCATCTCCCACTTACCTCACCTCATCCCATCTCCCACATACCTCACCTCATCCCATCTCCCACATACCTCACCTCATTCCATCTCCCACATACCTCACCTCATCCCATCTCCCACATACCTCACCTCATCCCATCTCCCACATACCTCACCTCATCCCATCTCCCACTTACCTCACCTCATCCCATCTCCCACATACCTCACCTCATCCCATCTCCCACATACCTCACCTCATCACATCTCCCACATACCTCACCTCATCCCATCTCCCACATACCTCACCTCATCCCATCTCCCACATACCTCACCTCATCCCATCTCCCACTTACCTCACCTCATCCCATCTCCCACATACCTCACCTCATCCCATCTCCCACATACCTCACCTCATTCCATCTCCCACATACCTCACCTCATCCCATCTCCCACATACCTCACCTCATCCCATCTCCCACATACCTCACCTCATCCCATCTCCCACATACCTCACCTCATCCCATCTCCCACATACCTCACCTCATCCCATCTCCCACTTACCTCACCTCATCCCATCTCCCACATACCTCACCTCATCCCATCTCCCACATACCTCACCTCATTCCATCTCCCACATACCTCACCTCATCCCATCTCCCACATACCTCACCTCATCCCATCTCCCACATACCTCACCTCATCCCATCTCCCACTTACCTCACCTCATCCCATCTCCCACATACCTCACCTCATCCCATCTCCCACTTACCTCACCTCATCCCATCTCCCACATACCTCACCTCATCCCATCTCCCACTTACCTCACCTCATCCCATCTCCCACATACCTCACCTCATCCCATCTCCCACATACCTCACCTCATCCCATCTCCCACATACCTCACCTCATCCCATCTCCCACATACCTCACCTCATCCCATCTCCCACTTACCTCACCTCATCCCATCTCCCACATACCTCACCTCATCCCATCTCCCACATACCTCACCTCATCCCATCTCCCACATACCTCACCTCATCCCATCTCCCACATACCTCACCTCATCCCATCTCCCACATACCTCACCTCATCCCATCTCCCACTTACCTCACCTCATCCCATCTCCCACATACCTCACCTCATCCCATCTCCCACATACCTCACCTCATCCCATCTCCCACATACCTCACCTCATCCCATCTCCCACATACCTCACCTCATCCCATCTCCCACTTACCTCACCTCATCCCATCTCCCACATACCTCACCTCATCCCATCTCCCACATACCTCACCTCATCCCATCTCCCACATACCTCACCTCATCCCATCTCCCACATACCTCACCTCATCCCATCTCCCACATACCTCACCTCATCCCATCTCCCACTTACCTCACCTCATCCCATCTCCCACATACCTCACCTCATCCCATCTCCCACATACCTCACCTCATCCCATCTCCCACATACCTCACCTCATCCCATCTCCCACATACCTCACCTCATCCCATCTCCCACATACCTCACCTCATTCCATCTCCCACATACCTCACCTCATCCCATCTCCCACATACCTCACCTCATCCCATCTCCCACATACCTCACCTCATCCCATCTCCCACTTACCTCACCTCATCCCATCTCCCACATACCTCACCTCATCCCATCTCCCACATACCTCACCTCATCCCATCTCCCACATACCTCACCTCATCCCATCTCCCACATACCTCACCTCATCCCATCTCCCACATACCTCACCTCATCCCATCTCCCACTTACCTCACCTCATCCCATCTCCCACATACCTCACCTCATCCCATCTCCCACATACCTCACCTCATTCCATCTCCCACATACCTCACCTCATCCCATCTCCCACATACCTCACCTCATCCCATCTCCCACATACCTCACCTCATCCCATCTCCCACATACCTCACCTCATCCCATCTCCCACATACCTCACCTCATCCCATCTCCCACTTACCTCACCTCATCCCATCTCCCACATACCTCACCTCATCCCATCTCCCACATACCTCACCTCATTCCATCTCCCACATACCTCACCTCATCCCATCTCCCACATACCTCACCTCATCCCATCTCCCACATACCTCACCTCATCCCATCTCCCACTTACCTCACCTCATCCCATCTCCCACATACCTCACCTCATCCCATCTCCCACATACCTCACCTCATCCCATCTCCCACAGACCTCACCTCATCCCATCTCCCACTTACCTCACCTCATCCCATCTCCCACATACCTCACCTCATCCCATCTCCCACATACCTCACCTCATCCCATCTCCCACATACCTCACCTCATCCCATCTCCCACATACCTCACCTCATCCCATCTCCCACTTACCTCACCTCATCCCATCTCCCACATACCTCACCTCATCCCATCTCCCACATACCTCACCTCATCCCATCTCCCACATACCTCACCTCATCCCATCTCCCACATACCTCACCTCATCCCATCTCCCACATACCTCACCTCATCCCATCTCCCACATACCTCACCTCATCCCATCTCCCATATACCTCACCTCATTCCATCTCCCACATACCTCACCTCATCCCATCTCCCACATACCTCACCTCATCCCATCTCCCACATACCTCACCTCATCCCATCTCCCACTTACCTCACCTCATCCCATCTCCCACATACCTCACCTCATCCCATCTCCCACATACCTCACCTCATCCCATCTCCCACATACCTCACCTCATCCCATCTCCCACATACCTCACCTCATCCCATCTCCCACATACCTCACCTCATCCCATCTCCCACTTACCTCACCTCATCCCATCTCCCACATACCTCACCTCATCCCATCTCCCACATACCTCACCTCATTCCATCTCCCACATACCTCACCTCATCCCATCTCCCACATACCTCACCTCATCCCATCTCCCACATACCTCACCTCATCCCATCTCCCACATACCTCACCTCATCCCATCTCCCACATACCTCACCTCATCCCATCTCCCACTTACCTCACCTCATCCCATCTCCCACATACCTCACCTCATCCCATCTCCCACATACCTCACCTCATTCCATCTCCCACATACCTCACCTCATCCCATCTCCCACATACCTCACCTCATCCCATCTCCCACATACCTCACCTCATCCCATCTCCCACTTACCTCACCTCATCCCATCTCCCACATACCTCACCTCATCCCATCTCCCACATACCTCACCTCATCCCATCTCCCACATACCTCACCTCATCCCATCTCCCACTTACCTCACCTCATCCCATCTCCCACATACCTCACCTCATCCCATCTCCCACATACCTCACCTCATCCCATCTCCCACATACCTCACCTCATCCCATCTCCCACATACCTCACCTCATCCCATCTCCCACATACCTCACCTCATCCCATCTCCCACATACCTCACCTCATCCCATCTCCCACATACCTCACCTCATCCCATCTCCCACATACCTCACCTCATCCCATCTCCCACTTACCTCACCTCATCCCATCTCCCACATACCTCACCGCATCCCATCTCCCACTTACCTCACCTCATCCCATCTCCCACATACCTCACCTCATCCCATCTCCCACATACCTCACCTCATCCCATCTCCCATATACCTCACCTCATTCCATCTCCCACATACCTCACCTCATCCCATCTCCCACATACCTCACCTCATCCCATCTCCCACATACCTCACCTCATCCCATCTCCCACTTACCTCACCTCATCCCATCTCCCACATACCTCACCTCATCCCATCTCCCACATACCTCACCTCATCCCATCTCCCACATACCTCACCTCATCCCATCTCCCACTTACCTCACCTCATCCCATCTCCCACATACCTCACCTCATCCCATCTCCCACATACCTCTCCTCATCCCATCTCCCACTTATAACCCCACCCTGATAATAGTGGGAAATGACAGTGGGATGATGTCAGTGGGAACATGGCAGAGAGGGCATAAGTCAGATCTTAGGCACGGTCCGTTTATCTCTTGACTCCCTCACAATCTCATGACCGCTGCTGCTTTCACTCTGACAACCATTGTTCATTCTCATGGCCATAATTATTCATTCCGTATTCATTATGTTGACATCCCAATCATTTTGGTCACTCTGACAATTGACCCAGTTGATACTTCACTCATTTCATGAACAAGTGAAGAACACTTCTCATTGCTTCACTATTTTCAAAGTACATCATTAATCAATCTGTGATTGTGCTCTGTTTTCCCCAACTTCACAATTTCTGTTCATTCTTGGCACTATGGCCCGACACTGAATCGTATCAATATTGCTCCATGCTCTGGCCATTAAAAATCAGCACTGACCATGGTTTGCATTCAAATTCACCATGCTTATTCCATCTGATAGTTGTGTATATCTGATCAGACAATACGAGTCCTATCTGAACATGAAACACAGTCAGCCTACCTCAAAACCCTCTGCGTCACACTAATTCCTCCATTCCATGATGTACATTCACCCCCATCCATACCAGAGCATGAAAAGGAGATTCATATATTGATATTACTAAACTATACATGATTATTAAGTCTAAATTGGCACATGTAACCATTCCTTTCTCTCCATCCACCATTCGTTCCATCTTTCCCACAACATCCTGGTAGGCAGGATGGAAAAAAGGGGGTGTACCCCTACCACCATCATTCCACATCACCCCCACCACCAGCTTTACTTACTTGCCATTGTGCCACTTATTCAAGGCTATGCTTGACCAAGCTCTACTCACCCACCTCCTCATCCGCCTCGTCCCTCTGACCTTAACTTTTGATGCCTCATTTGTTGTTTTCCCTTCCACGGTTACCTTTGCTGCATCATCATGACTAGAACTTGGCATTTGCCTTGACTTTATGTCAGAGTTCTTGGCAGAAACTGCAGCAGTGGCAGCGCCAACAGGGACAACAGTGGCTGAAGCCTTCCTTAGGTTTGAAAGCACAACAGGAGAGCGAACATAGCAGGCAGCAGCATGCTCTTGAGCATCCTGCTGCCTGTTCTTCCCTGTTCCTGTTGATTCCTTAGAGCTCGGTGCTGCACTCTCGGGAACCTTTTTTTGTAAGGCCTGGTATATGCTGGAGCTTATTTTCACTGAATCTTTTGCGTTGGCTTTTACAGCAGGAGTTTGCACAGATGCGCAGCCCGTGCTGTTTGCACTGCTGGAGCTGAAGGTGCAGACCATCACGCTCCTGTTGCTCTTGTTAACATCATTCTTACTGGCAGAAGTTTTTCCAACCATAATCCAAGGCGATTTCTTGCCTGTGGAAGCGAGAAACTCGTCCTTTGATAGGAAGGACACGTTTCCTTCATTGCTGCATATGCTTTCAGGGTTTAGATACCGTTGACGAAATTCCAGCAGATCCAACTCGCTCATATACGAGAATTCGTCTTCAGAATCCTCGGAAATTCGTGCCTTTTTCGCACTCGGAGCAGCAGCAGCAGCAGCAGCAGCAGCAGGCGTGGATCGCTTGCGTGCTGCATCGCCCCAGCTGGGAGAGGCGGAAGCGGAGGCAGCAGGAAGGTAGTGTTTTTTCAGTCCTGCTGGAACGCATCCGTGGTCCTCTTCCCAGTAGAAGAGGTCGTCGGGGTCAGCCTTGCTGCAGGCAGCGAGGGTTTTCACGGCCATCAGCACTCGGATGCCAAGAAAACTTCGAGGCTTGAGGAAAGAGGTAGCAACGAGCTGTGAGTAAACAAGAATGTGCTTCAACTGAAATGAAATGGGTGTCAGATGGGGATTTCTACTTGTGGCTTATGAGAGCAGCATCGTTTCTGACAGGGTGCTGATGAGCGATCCGTTTACTGACGAGCCGCTCTAGTTGACGGCCGCAGAAGAGGGAGTTCCGTTGGAAACGGGAGTTTCAGGTATGGTGCCGAGGCTAGGGTTACGTGTTGGTGCGTGCGTGTTTGCCACGGAGAATGTCGCTCTGGCAGATGCAATGGCATCCGAAGCAACCATGTACTTGCCGAAGTTCCCGGAATGCTCTACAGTAGATGACATGCCTATCGATAACGTGAAAACTCGCCACGGTTTGGAATGCTTCTGTGGAAAGATCTAGGCTTTCGAAGCATGAGAGTGAGACAGTCGCACCTGGGCTTTGCTGCTCCACGTCATCGTTGATGCAAATCTGACTCAGGCTAATGATCGGACAGCGTGGAATGGCACGGCGTGTGAAAGCTATGGGTTGATGAGAATTAACTGACCAACCTGTGCGAGTCGATCTCGATGTTACCTACGACTATTACGGGCTTGGCTGGCGTGTTCCTAGGGAATGAGCTGCGGCTAGCTGGTTCTAGGGTGTTCATTTGCCGCTGGGAGATGTGGTAAGGTCAAGAGGGTATTTGTGGCTGGTGGGTTTGAAGTTCGAAAACGTTACATCAAAGGTTACGATTTGTTTAGGTCTGTGAAACTAAGTGAATTCACATAATCCAACCCAAGAGTCGAAGCGACACCAGCAACCGTCTGACCAAGACCGATGCAGGCAGAAACATTTGAAGTGAAAAGAACGGGAACAGGTTTGAAACGGGTTCCCGTGCCGCACGGTTTGAATCAGCTTTAATAAGTGAATGTACCCCTTAGAGTACATGGCTAGTCTAGGTCGTTTCGCATTCCTTTGTATTTCCTATGTAAACTCGATGTATACATGCTATTACTGTCATCGCCCGGATAGTAGACTGTGTTGAATAGTAGACAGGGGTTGTCTATTATCCGGGTGTCTCTTATAAACAGGCTAGCCTCATTATAAGACACCTATTTGTGTGTACGAGATAAGACATATGCGTCGTATAATCGAAACTGCAATATATTATAGTAAAACTTGAAATACATGTCAAGGAAAGGCGGAGCTGACGACGATGCTGCAGCTCACGCGCAATGAAGTAGCGAAGAGCAATGTGCTTCGTTCTGTGCTCCAGTCTCTGCTCGTGACACAAGGCAAGCATTGTCTTGTTCTCGACGTACAGAACCGGAGGAGAACGAGGCCGCTCCCCCAAGTCGGTCAGCAAGTAGGTCAGCCAGCGTAGCTCCTGTGCAGCCATGGCCCCAGCGTAGATCTCGGCCTCACAGCTGGAACTCCACGAGACAGAACCAGAGCCAAGACTGAAGGTGTAACCCTGTGACGAAAGCTGAGTCGCCTGATCGTCGGCCCAAGAAGCGTCGGAGTGTCCTGTGAGTACCACTGAACTCTGTCCTCCAAGCACTAGCCCCTTGCCCGATGTACTGCACAAGTAACGCAGTGTCAGAATGTTATATTGCTTACTTTGTGTAGGCTATAGTGGGGCAGCCCATAAGGGGTACAACCCAATTAGGGTTAGTACTTGTACCCAACTCTTTCATAGTTCATTCATTCTCGTTCATTCTTTTGACATGGTTTCAGAGCAAGTCCTTCGCTAGGACCGATTTCTTTTTAGGGCCCACCACAGAGCTGCCCCACTAGCTGCCCTGCCCTACCAGCGCGCCGCCCTACTGGCTCACGCGCCGCCCTCAGCAGCCCTCGTGCCGCACCTGCTGCCCCGCGCGCCGCCCTTTTGCAGCCTGCCCATAGCCCCTAGGTCCCGCGCGCCGCCCCTTGCGGCCCGCCTGTCGCCCCTGCTGCCCCGCGCGCCACCCCTTTGCGGCCCACCCGTTGACCCTAGGCCCCGCGTGCCGCCCCTTCAGGCCCGCCCGTCGACCCTAGGCCCCGCGCGCCACCCCTTGCGGCCCGCCCGTCGACCCTAGGCCCCGCGCGTCGCCCCTCCAGGCCCGCCCGTCGCCCCTGCTGCCCCGCGCGTCGCCCCTCCAGGCCCGCCCGTTGCCCCTGCTGCCCCGCGCGCCGCCCCTTGCGGCCCGCCCGTCGATCCTAGGCCCCGCCCGCCGCCCCTGCTGGCCCGCCCGTCGACCCCATGCCCCGCGTGCCGCCCCTGCAGGCCCGCCCGACGCCCCAATTGCCCAGCGCGCAGCCCCTTGCGGCCCGCCCGTCGACCCTAGGCCCCGCGCGCCGCCCCTTGCGACCCGCCCGTCGCCCCTAGGCCCCGCGCGCCGCCCCTGCTGCCCTGCTTGCCGCCCCTGCAGCCCCGTGCGCCGCCCCTTGCGGCCTGCCCTTCTCCCCTGCAGCCCGCAAGCCGCCCCTGCAGCCCCGCGCGCCGCCCCTTTCGGCCCTCTCGCCGCCCCTGCAGCCCCGCGCGCCGCTCCTTGCGGCCCGCCCGCCACCCCTAGGCCTGCGAGCCGCCCCTCTTGCAGCCTACGCGCCGCCACTTGCAGCCCCTTGCTGCTGCCTGCCCTGTTCCTTGCGCTGCCCGGCTCCTTCCCGCCCTGCGTGCTGCGCTGCTATGGCTTCTTTCTGCGTACTCGCTTTCGATCATGAGGGCCGTCTGAACCAGTTCGACACATGGCTCGACGACTTGCAGCTGTACCTACTGAGCGACTCTAAAGACGGCGTTTCATTCTTTGACCACACGTCTGGAGCCTCTCCCGCCCCTCCCGCCACAGCTGACAGTGCGACTCGCTCACAGTGGCTTACCCGTCACGCTGCTGCTCACTTAGCCATTCGCAACCACCTGCCGTTAGCCGAATGCGCTCACTTCGGACAGCACAGGACTGCACAGGCACTGTACGACGCTGTAGTCGCCCGTTACTCCTCGCCTGCCACTGCTGCTCTAGGCCGTCTTCTACTGCCCTACCTGTTTCCCGAGCTGTCCGCCTTTGCCACAGTAGAGGACCTCGTTACCCACCTTCGCACCAGCAACACTCGCTACCGCGCTGCCCTCCCAGCAGAGTTCCTTGATAGGAACCCGCCCCCGATGTACATCACTCTCTACTTTATAGTCACCCGCCTCCCAGACTCTCTTCGCGCTGTCAGGGACCACTTTCTCGCACTTGAACCCACAGTCCTCACTGTCGACC